TTTGTGTGTGTGTGTGTGTGTGTGTGTGTGTGTGTGTGTGTGTGTGTGTGTGTGTGTGTGTGTGTGTGTGTGTGTGTGTGTTGTTTTTTTTTCTTTTTCTCTTCATCAATTGTTCGAATTTCCCTTTCTACTCTAAAGGGGAAGACGTCCATCCGGGACATTTCAGGTGGAGTGACCCCAATGCTTAGCCCTGACTTTTGACTGCTAATTACTCCACAGGAACAATATTAGCATTTTACAACAACTGTTTTAACATACGTGCAAGCTAACACAAAAGAAGGGAGCAAGACATAGGTTAAAAAAAAAAAAAAAAGAGGGATTTAGGTGAAGCGCAAAGTCACAGCCTGTGACTGTTTTGGCTACCAAAGCTCAGCCATGGGGTCCAGGTGAAGCACGCATGCACGCATGTTTGTGTGTGCGTGCGTGTGTGTGTGTGTGTGTGTGTGTGTGTGTGGGTGTGGGGGTGTGTGTGGGGGTGTGTGCGTGTGTGTGTGTGTGTGTGTGTGTGTGTGTGTGTGTGTGTGTGTGTGTGTGTGTGTGTGTGTGTGTGTGAACGCGTGCGCACAGAGGAAGGCAGGCTTCAAATTAATTGTGTGTTTGTAGTTTGCACAGCACGCCAGGTTCAAAGGAAATGTCCAAGTATGCATTACTGCTGAACTCCCTCACCTGGCTGAGACGAGATTCATATCTGTGTGAGGATTGATGCTCTGCGTGCGTGCAAACACACACACACACACACACACACACACACACACACACACACGCCCAGATGGATGAGAAGCTCCGTTTAAGCCTGATCTTGCACTTGCATGTCTCTACATTTAAAAGTTCCTGACTATTTCCGTCAACAGGCACACACCTCTGTAGATGCAAACGTTAGAGGGCATGCCCCCAAAATGCTGAGGAAAACTGTTATGCGCACAAAGCTCCACTAGGTGGCCTCAGTGAGCTCACAGGAATTTATAGGACATGAGCCTTGTGGGGCAGACATGAGTTTTACACTTGTCCTTTCAGTCGCAGCCACTTAGTTTATACCTCAGTACAAATCAGCACTTAACATTTGCATACATATTTACAGCTTGAGTGTGAGTTTTTCGAACACTGGTGTTATTAACATATAGTCACACATCTAAATTTCCTCTCTTCTTTCCATAATTATTGCTTGCCTCCTTTCTCAATTAAATGTAACATTTCTGGGAACATCTGCTCATTTTCCGACCATAACAATTCCTATGTCTTTTAATGTTTATAGCGGGTACCAGCCCTCAATTTGTGCCTTTACAATCTTGAGCTATGTTGACAGTCCATAGGCGAAACAGAGTTGCCAAGGTTACCACCTTCCTTCTCTTCTGCCTTTTGTTGAAAAAAAAAAAGTATGCAAGCCCTTCATGAACACGCCTGCTTGAGGTTGCGGGGGCGTGGCCCGTTCCGTATCGGTATGCACTCGTTATGAATTATTCATGAGCATTAATATTCTGCTAATGTTAGGATATTACATGAGGCTGGTGCATGATAGAGGTAATGTTAGAAAGCTGCTGCGTGGGGGGTTGTTGTGGGGCGGGGGCGGCGGGGGGTGGGTTCTAGCAAACAAATGAAGTGTGCACAAACGCTTTGTAAAATATTCCAGCTGCAATACGAATTTGACATTAATGTCATAAATGCAAATAAAGTGATGTTGAGGACGAGAAAAAAAATCGATTTTCATCTTCTTGAAAATGCAGTCAATTAATTGCATTTAAAAGCAGTGCTAGACTAACACCAAAACAAAATATACATGCTGTTTATTCCTGGTCATCTGGAGAAAATGCAAATAGAAACGTCACAAAACCGGAGTTGTGCGCTAAGCAAAAGGCGAGTATAGTTACACTTGTTATAAAGCAGCCGCTCTATTTATAAACGTGTCCGTGGGAGAGCCGCTGCTGTCCGGGCCAAGGCGGCACCATTCCCCCGCTCCTCCGCGGCTCTCCGGCGGATTTGCGGTGATTTGTGTGGCCCGGGGGAGAGAAGCGCAACTTACCGCCGAGTCTGTCCGCTGCACGGCGGCGCACAGGGCGAGCAGCAGCAGCGGCACCGCGAGCCGTGGCAGCCTCTTCGCCTCTTTGCTCATCTTGGACGTATACGCGGGGAACTCGAACAGGATCCGCTCGCGTTCGGACTGAGAAAAGTGCGCCTCGCTACTGGCGTGTCATCGCCGCGCGTGTCTTCGCTCCACTTTTTGCGCGTCTTGCTCTGACGCGGAACACTGAGGCGCTCGGTTGGTTCTCCTGTTGCCGTGCTTCTCGTTGCAGAAGCTCCAAAGTGGTCCTGGCTGTGGTACCGTGCGCCTCTGGTCCCCCTCTCTGATTTCGCTCCAGAACCTGCCCCGACCGGATCTACTTCCCACTCCAAATGCGCACTGATATCGCCCCTCGCACCTTCACTCTGAGAAGGCGCCTCCTCAAACAGGCTGGTGTTGAATTACACGTTCGTGTCAAATTTCCTGCAAAATCTTACATCAAAACATGTATTGTTATAATAGTCCTAGCAGCAATATAATGTTTTGTTGCTAATTTTAGAGTGGGAAAGTAGCGCAACTAAGTTAGGACCCGCAAGGGCGGAGGGATATAGTGGTGACTTGCTCTTGCGCGCCTACCCACGCCTCAGGCTGCACAAAACGGAGACTGGAATAAAACATTTATTTTTCTTGTAAGCCCCGACATGTTGCATTCCGCCTACTTTATTTCACATTAAATATTCACTTAAGACAAACATGGCAGGTGTGGAGAAGACCAGAGATTAATAATAAATCACACTACATTCAAATAAATCTAAATCACATTGTTTTACTACCTGCAACAACTGTGGGCCACCAACTAATCCCAAAGCTTTTATCCCACAAATTTGATTTTTAAAAATCAGCCTAATCTCGGCCGCCATCCCGGAAACAAGCCTGCATTATTATGACGATTGTCCTGTCTGTATTTTGAATGCCACATTGTTTCTAATACAACATTATAGGTCAAATTAGAAAACATGAGAAACCCTGGGAAAGACCCATGTGGAACCCCGTCATTCAAAAAGACTCCCCCCCCCCTTTAAAAATGTTGGAGGAGAGAGTCAGCCTGACTCTTCCAAAAGGTTCTGTTAAAAATATATGTCGTTCACTTTCATGGAGAAAACACAATTTTTGATATTTGTTAACTTGGAAGAATGACAGACTTGAAAGCCGATACTGTATGTCTAAATTACGCCCCCCCCACCCCCACCCGACACACATATCAAATTTACTTAAAAAGACTCAAAGGTTTACCAGGCTATTATAGGTCAAAATTTAAGGGCCCGCAGGACAGATCCATGCGGATCCCCGTTTTTCAAAAAAGGACTAAAAGTCCTGCCTGGAAAACACACCCAAGTGCAATATTTCCACCAGTCAGACATTGGCATTTCGGTGATATTATGTTCAGTGCACTTAATTGGGATACTTGAATTTATGTGGAAATGTATTTGCAATCCATAACAAAGAGGTTGTGTGTATGTCTGTCGTAGTTGTTGAATGTGACTGGTTTCCTGTTGAAGACTCAGTAAAAAAGTCTTGCAGGAGAAGCGCTAGTGGGGTTCGCGAATGACAAGTGTTGGCCAACTTGGCCCCTCCTCTCCCGGCTGGCGGGGCAGCCCTGCAGAGTTGAAGCGCGACAGCCCGAACGGAGAGCGCAGGCAGCGACTTCCCCGCCGTGCAAACTTTGGTGAGTTTGGACAAAAGCTCGAAATTTATGAATTTGGGAAGGGAATCGCGAATTTCGCGTCTGTGCTCCGAAGCAAGCCACGAGCGCGTCGACCGCGTTGGCCTTCGCTTGGGCTGTTTTAAAAAAAAAATCTCTGTGTGTTTGTGTGTGTGTGGCCGCTAGATGACAGGATCTTTGGAGAAGTCGATGAGCGCGTTGCAAGCGCTTAGCTGGTGAACTCTCGGGAGTCCAATCTTCAACCTGCGGCTCACCGGATCACGATGAAGCTCCTGTAAGTTACGTTTTACGCATTTCAAACGCACACGCGCACAAAGCGTCTCCGAAAAATTGGTGTATGCGTGTTCTTTTTCTTCAGCGACCCCGTGCGAGCTCAGGTTGACTTTTTGTGCCAAACTAACCCAAACTGCTTCTTTCTCCCTGTCAGGGTTTGCGTGGTGGCAGTCGTCGTGGCCGTCAGTGCAATCCACGCAGTAAGTGCCATTTGTTTACTAGCACGCTCCCGAGCCACCGCTCGAGTTCTTTTTTTATACACACGCGGGCTGTTTATTCGATTGTGACGCACATAGAATGTTTATTATGTTGTCGATGTGCTCAGCTGAAATTGTACACTTGGTTGTCCGGTGCAGTGCTTTGACTTTCAAGTACACTCATTTGCGAATATTTTAACCATGTGATAATTCATCTCGCTAAACCTGCACTGTATGAAAGAAAGGGGAAAACGGAATGGAGTCGGGGAGGGGGGGAAGCTTAACTTTTAAAACACAATAAAACAAAAAAAATAAAAAGAATATTGTTCCAAAGGGAATGAATGTTTGAAAAAGTAGTCCACGTTGGAGTGTGCCCGCTTTAGCTCATTTGCAAGTCACCTCCTCCGGCTCATTAATATTTAGAACCTGGCGACGCGCCCTTTTCCTCAAGCCACGCCCACTGGCTGACCAGAACGCTGCAGCTCAGTCCTCGCCTCTTTGTGTTTTATTGTTACATTTTAATGGGGAGACTGAATGTTGGTCTGCGATCAAATACTGTTGATGATTTTGGCATTCGAGTATCTACTAAAAATTGTGAAGAATAATCATGTATTCTGATAAACTGGCGTTTCACCTAATACATTTCAATTCATAATAAACAGCCTATTGAGTTCCTTGTTTATGAAAGCAACCGTTTTTATTTCTTAAATTCACTTTGTACATAGCAGCAAACTATATTTTATTTTCAGTGGGACAGGTTCAAACAATTCTAATTGTATACTTACTATTAGCATTTCTTTTTTCAAATTCACACTTTACAGTTGCTAATCAACTCAACTGTATTGATAAAGAACTTAAAAACCACAACCGCTGAATACAAAGTGCTCTACATGGAGCAAAAATAATTCATACAACAATAAATCAATAAATGAATAACCAAGACATTAGAAAGCAGAAAAACTAAAAATCAAGTCTGAGTCATGCCGAGTCAAAAGCCAAAGAATAAAAATGAGTTTCAAGATGAGTTTTAAAGATTGTGAGCATTCAGTGGGAGGTCATTCCACAGAGAGGGACTAGCAACGGAAAAGGCTCGATCCCCTCTGAGCCTCCACTTAGTTCTTGGTACCTCTAATAATGTCTTGTCTGCAGACCTGAGGTACCGGGCAGGTGTGTAGTGGTGGAGGAGCTCAGAGGGGTAAGGTGGGGTGAGGCCATTTAAAGATTTGAAAACAAATAAGAGGATCTAAAATGTATAGGGAGAAAGACCTCTAAAATGTATAGGAAAGCCAGTGAAGCGATGCCAGATTGGAGTTATATGCTCCCTCTTATGAGTACCAGTCAAAAGGCGAGCAGCTGTATTCTGGACCAACTGGAGACGCTTAATGGAGGAACAATAATAAAAATGTTTGATGCAAAATATTAGTAGGCCAAGTGAAGCTGTCAGATAATTGCAACTGAATTCAGGGCAAAGTGGCGTAAATTACATCACTCACCTTTTGCCAAAATTGAACTAAAGTACAGGGGGAGGGCATTGGGCTCAAATGACTAGTTATGGCCCTGCGCTGAGCCAGCGACATCGCAAGCTGGCTGACAGACCTAAAGTATGATTAACGGCTCACGCATTGATGCAGAGGGCAGCTCGTAGTTGCAAGGACTAATGTGAATTGCAAAACACATCGGCCATCGCCACTTCATATATACGTCGCTGTAATATGGCACACTCCTCGACTCCCATGTCCCGCACGGGAGTAAAGAAGGTAACGCTAAAGCCCGCTGTAGCAGAGGCCACTCTTTGAAATTTTTGTTAAATGTTGGGGATAATCACGATGTGTTACGGGCGTAATGAGCTCTCTCTCTCTCTCTCTCTCTCTCTCTCTCTCTCTCTCTCTCTCTCTCGTATTGACTTGGAATTGACTCCACCCACGTGTCACCTCTCTGTTGTTCCGTGAGTGTGTGTAGGCGGCTGAGTGGATATGTGGCGGAAGAGTCCATTGGGTGGCCTCGTAACCGTGGTGACCGTTTCTTGGGATGATCAGAAAAGAACTGTTCCTTGCAGTGTGACCACTGAAATGCCTGTCTTGAGACTTTGTGTGCGGTCATGTGACTACCTGGCTCTGTTTGATTGGTCGAACTGCGACTAATTCCATTTTGTCGATTAGCTGGTGGGAAATCCAGCAAATAGATCACGCGAGCGATAAAAATAAAAGTTGTGCGTGGAATATAACTCGGTGTAACTTAGTAAAAGTACTGTTTCTTCGCAAAAATACTCAGGTGTGTTGCATTTAAATCACTGAGTGCAGTCTATCCTCAAAATTATTTCGGTAACTGTAACTGAGTAAGTACACCGGCTTTGAACTAAAATTTTGCCTGGCAACATGAATGACGGAATAAACCATCTCGTAAGTTGGGCACCTCTGGACATGGTCTGAGCTCAAGTCTAGTCTGCAGCGGCACTGCCTCCACAACTGTTGGCACAAGGGAGACATCACACACAGGTGACGAGGAATGGCGTGGGGAGGAGGCATACGACAGGAACGCAGAGGCGATGGCAAGTGAAATTACGCTTTTGAACAAGTTTGGAGCATGCTACTGATAGCCCATGTGGAAAACAATCTGGAGTTGTTCTCCCACTTGGAGACTCCTCTCCTGACTGTTCCTCACAAATGCTTTCGGAGCTTGGCAAGACTTGTCTGGCTCTTCCTGCAGGTGCTCCAGACATTCCGGCAAGTGATGATGTGGATCACTTGAAATGTGCCCAACCCAAAGCCGCCCAACATCCAACACCTCTTTTGCGGACCACCTTCTTCCTTTGGCCCTCAGCTCCCCTCATCATGACAACCGCCCCCGCGCCCCCTCCGGTGGTTTTCCACAGAACAAGCGAGTTACAACCGGATGATTTGTGGTCTAATTTGCGAGCGGCCTCGTCGCGCTTCCTCCTTCCTTTTGCTCAAAATCACCATCCCTCATTTTGACGGTTGCCATTTACAAAGCTTGTCTGTAGGTTTGAAACGTTTTGAAAATAATCCAGTTGGGATTTAGTTCTCACACCCCTCCAAATATTGTGATTTAATGTGCGATTAGTCAAACAATCAGACAGTTTATTGCTTTGAGGCTTTAAAGCATCAGGCGACCGATAAACGACACACACTGACTAAATCGACCTGTGTGGTGTGCATGTAAAATCCTTTAATTACCTGTGTGTAACATGAAAGATGGGTTTACTGTCAGGGGCCACCCACCCTGACCCTTCCCCGCCTCTACAAAGAAACTGCATCCAATTGACATATTATTAAGCTGTTTGATTTTAAAAATCTATTTATGTTGTATTCCTAGTCCATTTTGGTTCAGCATTGAGGTGCTTTGTGCTGGGACGCCTTCCAAAAGTCATGCATTTATGCGTCAATCTGTCTCTTGACAAATTCGCTTGGGCGTTTGCTCACGTTGGGCCTGATTTACTCAAGGTTTGCGGCTACAAAAACATGCACAAAAATTATTGATGACACATCGTCTATGCAGTGTTGCAATTTTGGAGCTTTGTAATGGTCTAAGGGCTGACTTGGACCCAGTCACAAGAAGGAGTCATGCTGTATTACCTGACAACACTGCCTTTTGTGCCTCGAGATTATCGGAGCAATCATTTGAATTTTCTGTAACACGATTTTTGGGGAGAAAATGACATTCAAACATCACGGGAGAAAAAGGGAACAAATTGTCACCACTTCCCAAACTACCGTACTGTACTTGCAATTCAAAATGCCAGTGCATCAGAACCCGGGTCAGACCCACAGCAAAAACATCAAACTTGCCACTGAATGTTTTGTTTCTAATGGACTTCTTAAGTCAATATTTGGCATTAAATGACTTCATCGGCTGATTCATCAGTTATCGGAATTTGTCTCTGCCAAACATCGAAAATGGCCTGAAAAAAAATCCCTTCTTGCGCAAAAAATTGTTTTACACCTGTTGCCAACAGCGCCTGCAATCTGAGTGAGTGCGCCATTTAGCTCCTATTTGGGATTTTAGGAAAAGATGGCATTCTTCGTAAATCATGCGCAACACGCCCACGAAGAGTACACGAGCCAACACGAAAGTTAGAGATCTTGGTAAATCAAGCCCATTGTGTGAAAGTTATTCTTTTGATAAGGATGATTGGCCCTGTGTGTGATCAGTCTCGATGATGTTGTTTTTGTGTGACATTGTAACCGAGGAATCAAATTCATCCCGCCGTTAAATGCCAAAGCAAACATGGAGTTGAGTTTCATCATTCCATATCCTTCCAGCAAAAGCTAGCGTGATCACGTTCTCATATTAGACCCACTCCCTCTCCCTTATTTATTTTTTCTTACCAAGCACACGCTGTCAATTTCTCCCCCAATTGGTTGCGGTGAGCTCCAGAGGTTGGAGGTCACTCGAGCACAAAGACAGCCGAGGCTTGTGGCCGTGACGACCGCTTAACATTCCGCTTGCCCGCTCTCCAGATTTGTTTATCGCAAGGGTTTTTTTTTTTTTTTTTTTTTGTCTTGACTGAAAGGGAGATGATACAGAGGAGGAGTGGGGAAGCTAACAAGCCATTGAAGTCCTAAAAACGGCAACGCTATCTGCGGGCCCTTTTGGGTGTTGGTGAACTTGTGAGTGAGAAGCTGAGGTTGGGTACCGTCTGGAAGGCTGGGTGCAGGCTGCAGGTGCTGTCGTAGCTTGTTGGACGTGCCCGTTTGCTCCCGTTTCAAGCCGTATGCTCCCTCGGGCCTGTTTCCACTGAAGGATTTCATCTTTTTTTTTTCCCCCCTCATTTGTTTGGTATTTCATCTCAAAAATGCATATTGTATAATTTAAAGCGTCCAAACTATATTGCCTTAAGAACGGCCCTGCTCGTTTCATGCTAGCACACGATGGGAAATACTATTGACGTGCTAAAACTTCGCATTGACTGCGGTGGTTTTTGAAGCGACGAGTATTTCAACATAAACAGTGAGCAATGCATGTAGTCAGTCAGGTAGGGTTTT